AACAGTTACGCATAGCTACAGTGTATCAAAGCTATAGTAATGAACTAAAATTTGCAAGAAGATAAGAAAAGTGTAGAATAATTCCTTATGTTAAAGAATTTAGCAAAGCTATACAAAATGAAAAAAAGCTAATAATACTTTTTAGAAAAGCATGTTTTAGAAAATTTTCTATTGTAACTATTCAACCATTCAATAATAAAATCACATACGAGAAAAAAGTCTTTATTATTATTTGGTAAACTGGTTTGCCGTGCTTTTAGAACTGGTCAGTAAATCTGAAGTAAAACTGATGCCATTGATTTTTTATCTCAAAGGGTTCTGCATATGTAAAAAGAAGAAAAGTAGGATGGAAGATAATTGTATTAAGGAAATATAGTTTAAACGGGCCCATAGGGAACAATTCTCACATGAGAAAAACTTAAGCTCTTGTTTTCTTCATCAGATTCCCCTTCGTACTCTTCTGGCCCCATCTTTACCCAGGGGTCATGATTTGAACAATCTAGACTTGAAACCTTCCCAGTATGTTTCACAAAAGTTTAAGCCATTCTGGTCCACTTGTTCTTGATTAGATTTTTCTCAAAGATATTTTCCTCAAAACAAAATGTACAATTGTGGCATCGTCCTTCCTCCAGGGGTCACAATTTAGACAAAAAGCCCATGGGTCTTTAGGTCACATGTGCATCATATAAAAACGTTATAGCAATTGAATTTTGTTCATGTTTTAAACCAATGGCCAATGTTAAAAAGATTTTAAAAGAGCATCAGTGCTAATTATAACTTTACACTAACATGATTATTGTGATAACGTAAAAGTTAGAAGCACAAGGAACAAAAACAAGATGTCCATTGGTCAGATCCCTAATCTGAGCACATTAGCTACGAAGCACCCTTCCTCATCATCACTACCCTGACAAAAAAATATATAGTTCAGTTTAGTTTGTTTTAGTTAACTATAGTTAACTATAATTTATTTTTTGGATCGTGTTCAAATTTTAATTCTTTGCTGAAGGTAGTCATAGTCATGTTTTCTGCAAATTTCCAATATCTGGATTCTTAAAATGAAATTTTATTAAAGAAAATGAGGGCTTTAAGTGTTTATTTTGTTTTGATATATGAAATGAGAAAGAGGGTGATAGTTTATTAATTGATATAAGTACAGGGTCATTTTATACATAAGATGGCTCTTTCTCTTTCGTTTCCCTTTTTTGAAAAGTACTATACGAGGGGTTATCAAAAAGTTCGCGAACTACTCTATATCTAAAAAAAACACGATTCAAATAAAAAAATGGTACACACTTAGCATACACATGTTTTATAAATATCATATGTTGAATAAAGTTTTGCTTCTTGTTTGTGACGTCACAATCTGAAAATGACGTCAGTAGGTAGGGCACTTTTGACAAAATATGGTTATCTCAGTCGAATTTGAATGTACAATTTCTGGTATGTCTTTGAAATGCCTTTGCAGTAGCTTATAATAATTTGTACCCAATTCATTTAGACAAGGCTTCCTATACATTAAATCAATGTTTGGATTGATCGTTTGATGGTTAAAAGTGATACTTGTTCTGTGTGAAAGCAAGTTTGAAAAGAAATGTGTTTTTCATTAAGCAATTAACAATCAAAGATGTCCAATTTACACTTTGAAAAATAGTTGAATATCTTGACAATAATATTATTATTAAATACCTAAGATATCATAGACTATATCGGAAACTTAAATGGTACGGCCACTTTTCACACTCAAGTGGCCTTGCAAAGTCTAACCTTCAAATGACACTTTAATGTGGACAAAGACAGGGAAGACAAAAGAAGAGGTGGGAAGACAACATGCCTGAATGGACTAGACTGAGTCTTGCAGAAACCAAAAGAGCGACTGAAAACTGAGACTTATGGATAAAAGTGGGGGGTAGGTCTTCGAAAGTCCCCCAAAGACATCCATGTAGTCAAGGGATAGGTGAAGGTGAAGAAGGTAAGGATATCTTGTACTTTACAGTTTAAACATATTACATATGATTAAAAGGAGGAGCCCAATCTCTATCAACCTTGAAATAAACATCTCTCCCGAAAAGGATTTTGATGGTTGCCATGCTTACTTTTGTAAAAGATATTCTAATCCAGCCATTCTGTTGCCGAGATTAGACCATTTCTGACAAATGAACTGTTTTTGTTATAAAAATTAACTTACATGGAAAGAAATGTAAAACTCAGAAAAATCTTTTAATTTTCTTCATAAAACGCTAAGGAAAGGTCAGTTGAACACCTCTTTCGAGTGATTCGCACATGAGCAGAACGGGGTAGATATGCATTAAAATCGGAGATAACTAATTCAAAATATAATCAACACTGAAAACAAATATTGTTTCTTTTATGGAAATGATTCAATCAGGTCGCTAACTTTTTGATCACCTTTCTTATTCTTGTTTAGCAGAACGCACATCGTAAACAGGTAGACAAAAACAGATAGCAATATAACCTATAGAGCCACGCGTGACCTATAAAGAGCCTTTGATGGGTTTTCATCAAAATTATTATATAAATTTATGTCTTGAAAAATCTTAAACTAAAGCGGGAACTTACTCTATTTTGCATTTGAAAAATTGTATTTTCATAACGTCTATAAGCAATGTTTGCGTCAATGGGGAACATTTTCTACTTTCACCTTTAGAAGATACATGTATGGTAAGGAAAGAAATTGAAATATATGTATTTGTTAAATTGATCGAATGACCCTGGGCTTAGATCAAGACCCATCTATAGGAAATTAAAAACCTGAATACAAATTATATCGACCACATGGCACAGAGTTTGGATGGTCAGCTCTACAGTCGCAAAGTAAGGAGTTGATTCTTACGTCACGGGTTCGAATCCCACTGTGGGGCGCTGAGATCGGTCTATCGGATGAGACCGTTTTAACCGAGGTCCTGTGTCGCAGTAGGTGCTGGCATAAAAAAGACCCCTCCCTGTTCAATGGGCGAGAGTGCCAAGTATAGGACAAAAGAATGACTGCACTTAAGCTATGAGAGTTGGAACCTTTTCGGCTACCCATTTTAAGCTTAACATTACAATATATCGCTAAATTAATCTATGATTAATGTGCAAGCATATGCTTTTGATATTTATTTCTAGATTTTTTTGTCATGTGTATTTCTGTAATTACAGAAAATGTAATTGAAAAGAACATGTAAAAGCCTTCCGGAAACTTGAACTGGTCCACTTTCGAATCTAAGGTATCCGCAAATAGGTGGAGTCATTTAAACTGCATGGTTGTGGAATGTAAACATTAGCACATATGATTTTTTCGCCCTACGAATTTAAATGGAGAAGAGAGAGATCTTGTCGATTTTATGGTGCACAATTATTAAATGATGCTAATGTTAAGGGATGGGGTAGATGTCTCGCTCTACAGACCATAATACATAGGCGACATAAGCCTATACCTGTATACATGTACTTACTTTTGACACTGTCAGTACCAGAATTCTTTCAAAACACCCCTTATGTAAAGCATAAAGTTAAATAAGAGACATATTAACTTCAAACCTTATTAATATGTGCACAAAAATTTCCAATAGTTTGAAGTTCGAAGTACGATAGATACCGTCACAACAGAGCTTAAACACAATGAAATGTTCAATGAAAGTGTTAGCGTATCGAGCAGCAGAATGTCAGGTGATTATTGATTAAGGTGATTATAATAGCAATCGTTGATGCACGGTGATCGGTTAATTTAGTAGCTATCTGAACCCTAGTTTGGGGACATTTTTTTTAATTTAAATTTGAGCCGCAACTTGGCCAGCATTGTCCTTTGGATATGTATAAGTTTAAGTTAAAATACATATTCTGTGCAAATAAGAAAAAAAGGCCAAGTTGTAGCTCGATGTAAACAAAGTCGTTGAAAACTGGTATGCATATGAATAACAATAGAAATGAGGCAAATCTATTAGACCCCCATCTCAAAAGCTAGAGTTGCTCGGCATTGTTTAATACTTTCATGTTATATACTATACCAAAACCTGCTCTTCAGATATTGTTTAATACGTATAAAACATAAATTGAATGAATTTTGGAATTTTATTTTTCGCAAAACATCGGGATCCAGCTCTCATAGCTTAAGTGCAGTCATTCTTTGCAGCTTTCCACTGGCAAGTAATGGCGTCTCCATATGAGTGAAAAATCATCGAGAGGGACGTTAACCAATATAGAAATCAATCAATCGAATTATTAACTTCCAATGTCTCCATGAATCAATTATGAACTGGACACAAATGTTAATAATTTTGTCCTTGGTATTTGATAAAAATCAGGTCATGATGATACACATAAGTTATAAGCAGTCTCTCTGCCGTTGTGATTTTACAATGATTTGAAGCCTCAACATAAATGCAGACAAACTAAGATGAGACTATTTTAACCAAGGTCATGTGTCACAGGTCCCTCCCTGCTTAATGCCCCTGAATGCCAAGTATAGAACAAAATTTGCGGCTCTTCACTGGAAAGAGTGGCGTCTCCATATGAATGAAAAATTCATCTAGAAGGGTGTTAAACAATATACAATCAATCAATCAATCAAATTGAACCTCCAATGTCTCCATGAATCAATGATGACCTGGACACAAATGTTAAAATTTTTGTCCTAGGTTTTTGGTAAAAATCAGGTCATGATGATTCACATAAGTTATAACCAGCCTCTCAGCCTGTGTGATCTAACATTGATTTTCCACAGTTAAAGCCCCAATATAAATGCAAGCACACTAACAAAAGAAAGGACAAGATGATCCTCACATACTTTTCTAATGTTAATTTTTGTTTACCAAGGTTGTAAATATTTACTTATAATTACCTTTTCCCAAAAACTCAGAGTCTTTTGCACATTTATGACGTGTTTTTTCTGTTGTTGACACATACACTCTGTTTCTTCATCAGTTTTAATTTGGGAGAGATCATCTGCAAGGGAGAAAGATGAATCTTTTTCATCACAAATAATGTAATGACATTTGAATCCTTTGTGGAATACTTTTGTGCCAATAAATGTTTCTGTCAGTTTTTCTATGGACTTTTCAATGGATTCTCCTATTTCATTTGACACGCCTTTGTCTATAGTCAGTGGTGTGATTCTCAATAGTTGTAACTGGATATCATCATTAGATATGCCAACAACAACAGTGTGTTGTTTGTGACTAAACACTGCTGCTGTTTGATAAAGACAAGGACTTCCTTCATTGTCTTCGTTTTTTAAAACTCTCCATTTTAAAGAGCTCATGCAGTATGCCACCAGTCTGTAGAACACAAACATGGCAAAAGAAGTGAACCGAAAGCATAAAATGGAGGAGCATTCCCCTATTTCTTCATAGTTCGCTTTAAATTGGTGTTTGTTCATACATGGGACATACCAAGACATGTCGCCTTCTGATACAGCCTCAAAAGTGTCCAAAGGTACCAGCATTTGAAGCTTCTCCATGTACGACATAATTTGACTTTTGTGTTCCAGGTAAGAGGGTTCATCTTTCCATAGAGCATCTATCACTTTATCTTTAAGTTCACCCGTTTTGTTGAAAGATTTCCATTCTGTTATTAATCTCGTTTTGCAGTCTTCATTAATATGGTTTTTATCAGCAATAATCTTGCTGAAAGCTTTAGCAAACCACTGAATGTCAAGTACTACATGATCCTTTAATTTCTCTTCATTATAGTATAAAAGAAGGCCATTGTCATGGAAACATTTTAAGAACATAGACATTCCCTCATCACTTTTGATCTGGTATTCATGGGGAAGGGATGCATTGAGCTTCCAAATTTCACTCAAGGGCAAAATCTTCCAGGCTCCTTCATATAATAACTGCTCCATTAATGCCCATGAAGAAAGCAACTCAATTTTTGTATTGTTTTCATTTGTGAATAGTTCAACTATGGACTTTGTCATTGAATCGAGATTTCTTTTCGTGTTATCATTTAGTTTAACTAGACCCACTGTATATATACGGTCTTTTAGAGATTCTTTTAACCAATCTCTGTCCTCAACTGGTACTGCCTCCCAGAATTCCTCAAAAAACTTCTCTATCTCCTGAAAAATTAAATAAAGTCATACATTTAAACATAATATGAGGCTCAAGGCCAGAACACTCACCTGAATTTATTGACATTTCTGTTCTTCACTACACTTTTTTTCAAAATGATTTTATTTTCATGAATAAACTTCTTCATTTAATTTTAAAATATTGATAAGCTACTGTGAACAAACCTTAATTCTTAAATTCATATAATGAAAAGAGGCCCAAGGGATTCTTTACGTGACTATTGTATGTAAAACTTTAATAGCATATCTTTACAACTGACAAAGATTCAATATAAATATGACAAATCAGGGCTTCCCTGTTTCCTTGAAAGGAATACTAGTTCTTTAAATTGTTTTCTTGTATTCCATGTAAAACCTAATAAGTGCTCATTGTGGCTCAATCCTAGTTCCAAGGGTCATGATTTGAACATAATTGAATGTATATTACAAGCAGTTGCTTTCATGTGTGACCAATATGGCTTTGCTGTTATAGGAACACTTCTTTTAAAGACTTCTCTCCTTTTTTCTAAAAACAATTCTGATCCTTTTTTCCCATTTCCTTCACCAAAGGGGACATACAAAATAATCAATTATGACTGCTGTTCTTCAAAAGACAAAAAAAATTTAAGTTTTTTCCCCTATACATGTATATATCTATGTAAAGGTTGGATCCCATATTCATATTGTTTCCCCACCCTAACCCTTGTTGTCATGATTTGAACAACCTGGAAAATAAACTTTATGAAAAAATCATACATTTAATTTTTATCTGATCAAACGAATCTCTGATCAAACGAATCTTGAGATGAAAATTTTTGAAAATGGCATCACTATGTTATTTATTCCTTATTATCCTGTGTCAAGGACGATCTGACCTTTTTTTGCTTAATTTTAAAGGATGTGTCGTGCCAAGTTTGTTTGAAATTTGTCCATGATGCTAGGAGAAGGCTGCACGTAAAATATTAAACTGTTCAAACTGTAGTAACTTCACTGAACACTTACTGAATTTGGTGGGGAATTGTGTGTAGTTTATCCAGTATATAATTGTAAAAATTGAAATAGAGATTGAAAAAAAAAACCTTCTTATTTTAGTTAGTTAAATTCCTAGTAAAATTCTTTTTAAGAATTGTTTCAGAAGTAAATATTAAAACTGCCCCCAGCACTCTTCATGTACAAGAGAACACGATACATCGACCAATCTAACAAATTTTGCACAATAATTTTGTTTTGTGCTTGTGCAGAGGCGACCATTGTGCAACATAAAAGAATATTTTAAATGCCCCACGTGATGAAAAAAACCTTCATCTTAATAACTTATTAAACTATTATCTGCAGTTTTAAGCAAGGACTACATATTGAAATGAAATCATATTTAGCTCAAAATAAACTAGAACTGTCCAAACGGGACAAAATACCCCCGCTGGGTTTTTCAGAAGTAAGTTTCTCCATAATGAAGATATGTATCAAACACGAATAATGAAATGACTTTGGGTCAAGGTCAAGACACGCCCTTTCGTCAGGGGCAATCTTTCTGAGAAATGAGAACCCACCAAGTTTATCCATAAGAAAGATATGGACCGGGCACGAATTATGAAATTCTTCCTTCAGTGACCTTGGATTTCCCAAAATGACCTTGGTTCAAGATCATGACACACCCTTCGGTCAGTGGCTAACTTTCTGAGAAATTAGAACCCACCAAGTTTATCCATAAGAAAGATATGGACCAAACACAAATTATTAACCATCTATTTATTTCATTTCCAAATCCAAATGAAGAAATCTTAGACACTTTAACACAGCAGTTGATTAGATTTGTATGGGGGTCAAAATGTGAAAAAATAAAACGTGTTGTTGCTACGCAGCACCAGACATAAGGAGGCCTTAACATGGTACATCTTAAAATTTTATACTTTCTCTAAAATGTTCGTGGATTCAAAGAATTATTAAAGGAAGTCATTCATGGTTGAGTATTTTTGAAATAATTTATGGGCACAATGTTGTGTAAAAGATTTTGAATTTGGGTGATGATTTTGTGTTGAAAATAAGATAACTCCGCAGTACTTATTGAGAGAAAGTCGAATTTCTGAACAAACAAATAGAAAACTATACAGCTAGACGGACGAGTGACACAATATGATCAGGAAATCTTATCATGTGTGATAAATTTGGAGCAGTTGAATTTTTTTAAGCTAAAACGGCCAACAAAAAAATAATGTGATAACAGCAACAAAAGTGGATATAAAAAACGTCTTTTGCTTTGCTTGCCAAAAATAGTGTCTGAGTGAAAAATTCAATAGATGGTTGTCAAACATAAACAAACAAATGTATTTTTATTTGTTCTATTTCTTATTTTCGCTCAGATTGAAATATATAGATCTGTTAGCATAATAATGCCAATACTTACATCAGTAGATTTTCTTTCTGTGTGCGTGACAACGAGAAACATTGGTGCCTTAGTACCTCCAAATGTCTTGATTGAGGTTATCCAGAACTTTAGGTAGTCTGAAAGAACAAATAGAAGGAAATGGAGATAACGAACAGTATTCAATATCAAAATCCAAAAAGCAATACAAAATAGGAGCAGAGCAAACACGGACCTCCGAATCATCAGAGGTGGGATCAGATGCCATGGAGTAGTGAGCATTCCGTGCTGTACAGTATCATGATAGGATAAAACAGACTGGTGTGTGATTGTAGTTCTACTGGATTATACTTACAACAGTGGAAATTTGTAGCTTTACTTAAAAAAAGCTGTTTTCCTGCTTTAGTCTTTGATTACTCATTAATTTTCAAAACACCTTGCTTTCTTTTGCGAAAACAAATCTTTAATCTATGAAGGATATGGAAATAACGAACAGTATTCAATCTCAACGTCCATTTAACAAATATACAAAATAAGAGCAGAGCAAACATGGACCTCCGAAACATCAGAGGTGGGATCAGGTGCTATATTAGGGAAACATAATTTTAAGGAAATATGGTTTTTGCATGACTGTATACTCAATAACTATGAAACAACATCTTTGGGTTTTACAGGACCCAGCGGGGCTCAAGAACACACTTGATATAATAAAATTATATATTTTACCGAGTAACTGGGTACACGATCGGAAAAACGTCGGAGTAAACGATTCTCAAATATTGACCGAGATGACATCCCTATTAGAATTAAAAGCCTTGACATGCATTCTATGTAATCATCAAAAAGTCTTGGAAACGACATTTCTCCGATTTTGATGAAATTTGCCCCATAGTTGCACCTTGGTACAAAACCAGCAAATATAATGATAGTTTGAGTTCTCTCTCTGTTTTAGGTAAACTCCAGACAAGCAGGTGGTCTGCTCAGCAATATGTCAGCAATAATAAACAGGGAAAAAGAAGGGCACATGGTTGATGGTATTTAAATGTAAATGATGAAAAATGTTAGTAAAACTTGGTTATTACGAAGCAAGTAGGGCCAAAGAATTTACTTCGATACATCCGTAATTCATTATATCCGTATAGCATGTATAAGAAATATATTACATTTATATAGTTGGAGATCAAAGATGCGTTTATCATTTCCGTGAAATCGCAATATCCGTGTTCATACTAACCGAGTTTTATTATTGTTTACATTATTATAATTTAATGAATTTAACCTCTCCTTTTAAATTCGGTTTTCGTTATTACAAGTAATTGATGTAAATCAAAATACTTTAGAACTGCAACATGATATAATTATACCTATGTAATCTTTGATATTATGACATTATACTATATCAGAAGGTTATTTTCATAAATTTTTATTGGCTGAAAGGATGTCAAATGATAGTCCTCCTTTTGCAATAGGGACGTGAAAGCGCTTCGGCGAAAGTGATATCGCACGACACACCGTTCAGATGCATTGAAGTTACGTAAGAACATGACATCATAATATAGGAAGAGTGTTTTTAACAATTGTAATGTAATGACAGCCAAATCCGTTTAGTTAGAATTGTGTTAGTTAGTGCATTTACTTTGAGTAATTATATAATATAACTATTATGGACTTCAGTAAACGGCTCGGTCGCTATCACTTTCTGTGTCTTCGGTCAATATTAATTGCCATAAATCCTTTACACATAACCACATTTCGACCTACACTCAAGTCCATTTTTGTATAATGTCTTACATTTGAAACGTTTTGATATCACGTTTCCTGTCTTACCTTTGTAAGTCCACACAGAGAAAATTGATTCTTCCTGGTTATCTTTCTCTTTACTGACAACATCTTCAAACCTCTTAGTCATGTCCAACACAAGGATGAAGAAGGCTTTTGGTGTTACGTAAATTTGGTGGCAAGCATAATACGCTAACTGACCAGCAAAGTCCAGCATGCTTACTGTTGGAAACTTTTCTTTCTCAGACAAGATTTTTTCAAAAATGTCATACTCAACCATTGCTTGTGCCTCTGAGGAGAGAACACTGGTCATTATTTCTACTGTATTCTCTTCTTCTTGGCCTTCACTCGGGGACATAAACTTTTCCATATTCTCTTCTTTCTTTTCTTCTTTGCCTTTAGCTGGAGAACTAGACACCTCATGATTCCTTTCCTTCTTTACATCTCTGCTGTCTGTTACTACAGTGTTTTTATCAGAACTTTTTGCATCCATATTGTCTTCATTTTCATTCGAGTTGGAGGTGTCATCTGCACTGCTCGGGTCTGGTGTCAATTCTTCAGCATTTATCCTGATAAATGCTTTCAATTGTGAGTCATCACCAGTCACTGTAAAAAAGGAACTTGGTTATTTAGTTAATAAAATCTTTTTAAACCACATCATTTAGTGGCAATATATATCTTTTATCAAGCTAAGGATTAAAAACAAACATGCACTTTTACAATTGAAGATGAGGATTAAGAACAAACATACACTTTCACAGTTTATACATACAGGTAATTAAATTTTGTTCCCATATATCTTCACAGATTAATGATGGAGTAATTTTACATTGAATTAAATGTGAAATATATTGTGGGTATGCCTAATAATAATAATTTAAAAACAAACAAAAGGACCATGGGCAACATCACTCAATTGTGCAAAATGGCTTGATCATGTTAAAAAAGGAATAAATGCCTAAAATGGAGGCTGGTTTTAATTTTCTGATCTCGAGTCTACGCCTACTAAGAAGCTTACTTATTTTGTTTCTTAACTGTGTTTTTTTCATAAAAGTCTGAATTTCACCCCCCCCCCTCCCCAACATAAATATGTTCCCTGGGGATTTATAATGCCTCCACAAAATTTTAACCACTGTATTTGTTAATCATCTTTATTTGGAGGAGGATGAGATCTTTCATATGAACAAGCTTTAGGGGTCTCATATGTCACCTAAGTATCATGTAACATTATACATTAATTGCATGAATTGTTGGGAAACATGAAGACTTATTCAGCCAAGAAAAATCATATTCCCCGAGGGATTCGCCCAAGGGGAATATGATATTTCGTGGCTGGATAAGTCTTCATGTCTCCCGAACATTCATGTGAATTGTTTATCATACCGAAACAAGCAAAGACTTTGAAATAAACATATTAAACTTTCAAATTAGGCACCGCTCTCACATTCACTATCATTGTTAACGTAAAGTTACTATAAAACCCTTTGGTCAACACATTATCATCAGTTTTGTGACGTCATCCAGGCTATTTCGACGTCTACTACTCTCTGGAATTTTCGATCAACGAACGAGAAGTGTATTGCGAGAAATTTCACTAGGTGTTCCTAAGATGTGGAATATGATGAAAAGAGTGCCGACGACGGCCCGATCACGTGATAACCTAGAACCAATCAGATAACGCGTTGTGCAGAATATTTATAATGAGGTGTAATAATTTTTTTACTTTCCAACAATTGAATATGGTTCAATACACTACCTGTGGTAAAGCAGAGGCCATGTCATTCACACTTTTTAAAGAGGCACCATTTCTTTTCATACTTATACACTTAGCATGCTTTATTTGGTTACGAAATATCCATAGGGGAACAAAAAATGAATTTCAACTATTCATTAATGATAAGCAATAATCAGTAGTGCCCCACCTCGAAGGAATCCTTTACTTTGGGTTCAACACATTTCAGAATTTTGGAAAAGACACCCTTAATCATGATAAATGTTTGATTAGTACCAAGAAGCAGATTTTCAAACTTTAATTTATTTTCTGTATATAATTAGAGAATCCCTTAACATGCATTCTCTGTTCACCAAAAAATTAACTATAGGGCTTGGAATCCACATGTCTCCAATTTGATGAAATTTGCACCACGGGTGCAGCTTGGTAAAAAACTAGTAAATATGGTGTTAGAAGTTTCCCACGTGCACCCGGTTGCCATGGAGACGGATCCATTGAATTTGGCCATTTTCGGCCATTTTTGACCAAACAAAAACATGAAAGTTGAGGAAATATGAATGCATTTTTATCTTCATGTAGTGAACTCAAATATAAATCATTGTATTATAAGAAAACATCGACTGTTAAAGAATACAGGGCATATAACCAGTTATTTCAGAATTGACCCCACTCTTACAAAACGCTTCGGCAAAATAGCATAGTTTCTCAAAATGTGAAAAATGGAAAATTTGGCATTTTTTGAAAAAAATAAGGTAAAATAAAAAAAAAGTGTCTACAGAAAAATTTCAAATAATATGCGTGTCGTCAAACGTCAGTATTAGTAGTGTCCCCTTCTGAAAAAAATTGCAGAGGGATCTCAATGCTATTTTTAGTAACATGTTTCTAAAAATAGACATATTTCAGAAAAATCAAAAAAATGAAATTTGGACAGAGTTTAAGATGCCATTGCTGGGTAATTATGAAATATACTGTAAAAGTCAATGTGTTAATGTCAGAAACTGGACACCAATAACTACCATGCATATTATTTTAAGGGATTTTCGTTTTTTATTTATAACTTCTAATGCCTAGACATAGACATGTTTCATAAAATGATGAAAAATGACAATTTTTCTATATTTTGAAGCTCCACTGAATCATAATTAATCACAATATGGATCTCTCCAATATTTCATCAATAAGAACAAGGAATAGTACAATATCTCACAAATTATTGAGGACAGACTCTCATGTCTATAAATATTACAAATGTCTAAAAAATGGACACATATGAAATTCACTGTTTAATGTTGATTTCCCACTAATTCTCAAATTAGAGATGGGAAATTTACCGACTTTCTGTCATTAACTGTGACTGATATCATGTGACTGACAAGAACAAAAGAACATTCAATGGAATGCAGCATGATAAGGAGAGGTTTCCATTTCTATTTATAGTAACACATGTTTAAAAATAGACTTAATGCAAAATATCGGGAATATGTCGTTTTTTGTACTTTTTCTAACATTTTGGATGAATAATTGCTGACTATTTGTTTTAATTGCAATTAGCATTTGGTGACTAATAAGTAAAGAAAGCCTTATATCAAATAAAGAATGAGAAGCAGAGGTTTCCATTTCTATCTATAGTAACACATGTTTGAAAATGGACGTACTGCAATATATCTGAAAAATGTATTTTTTTGTAATTTTTTCTCACATTTCGGATGAACAATTACAGACTATATGCTTTTACTGTTATTGGCATTCAGTGACCAACAAGTAAAAGAAAGCATATATGAAATACAGAATGTAAAGCAGAGATTTCTATTTATAGTAACACGCTTGAAAATAGACATGCTGCAAATTCTCGAGAAAATGTAGACTTCCGCACTTTTTTCTAACATCAGGGATGGTAAAAATGCAGACAAACGGCTTGTATTTGTTATTGACAGAATGTGACTACCGAGTATAAAAATGCTATAGCTAAAGTGTATAAGAATAATGTTTTAAGGGTATTTTTACATGTCTGTCCATAGTAACACATATTTATAAATAATCAGGAAAATAAAGAATGATTCGTTTTTCTTAAATTTGGGATATGGAATTTGCAGTCAAATTTTCATGAGCTGTAACTTACATGGCTAATTGTATTCGGCGCGCCAGCACGTCCACCTCATCCCAATACATATATCACAAAAGTATGTTCTCACTGCATTAAAACAATCAAATGACAGCGATTTTCTTTATAAATTAAGCATTATCGATTATATTTAGGTTGACAGCCTAAGCCCGATTGAAATTTTTTTCGTTAGGTGGATCCAGAAAATTTTCCCTAGAAGGCTGTGGCTCAAAAAAGAAAGAAAAATGGTACTAAAAGAGGTTCAATTTTTTTATGACCCTAGAACTAATTGTCATGAAAATCAAGTCTAAAAAAGGAGATAAAACTCTAGGGTCATAGCAAACTACTGGTGAATTTTTAATTTGTTACATTCATGTCGGAAGCAAATTAAAAGTGAAGAGGGGGGTCTAAACATGAAATCCTATTTCATGTGAGGGGGATTGAACCTTTTTCAGTACCATTTTTTTAAACACTACCACTTAGTCTTATTCTATTACACTGCAAAATGCCTGCTGAAAGGGGGGGGGGGGCTAAATCTTCTCCCCATTATTTATTACCTATGTGATGTCTATCTTTGACCCCCCATTCCAACACCTACATGTATGTTTATACGTAAAATAAATTTATAAAAACCAAAACAACAAATATTTTTTTGATGCTTCAGTTAATGTCTAGAGAAATACAAACATGCATGTATAGAGAGAGAGAGAAATCGAAAGTAAGCCAACTCAAAAAAATTGGCAAATTTCAGATTACTTTTGAACAAATTGTGGTAAAGACATGCATGGATCAAAGGGGATCTGGATCTCTGGAATATTCAACTTTATTATACCCCCGCCCCCCCCCCCCCCCCAAACGAAGTTTCGGGGTATTTAAGAATCAGCTTTTCCGTCTGTCTAGCTGTCCATCTGTCTGTGCAAAAGTGTCCGATCCATATCTTCCTTAATGAGGAACATTAGAATCTACTACTCCACACAAAGATTCCCAATGACCTTAGTGTGTGTTATGACCTGACTCAAGGTCATTTGGGGAACTTCAAGGTCACTGGAAGAAAAATTTAATAATTCGTGTCCGGTCCAGATCTTTCTTATTGATAAACTTGGTAGGTTCCTTTTTCACATAAAGATTGTCCATGACCTAAGATTCTGACATGACCTTAACGCAAGGATATTTAGGGAAGTTCAAGGTCACTTGAAGAAAAATTTCATGATTTGTGTTCGCTCCATAACTTTCTTATGGATGAACTTGGTAGGTTCTCATTTCACACAAAGACTGTTCATGACCTAAGAGTGTGTCATGACCTTGACGCAAGGTCATTTGGGGAAGTTCAAGGTCACTTACAAAAATTATTATTTGTGTCTGGTCCATATCCTTTTTATGGCTTAACCTGAATCTACTACTTAAAACAAAAATTGCTGATTACCTGATTTTCTGTCATGATTTTGGTCCAAGGCCATTAACGCAAAGTCAAGGTCACTGACAGAAAAAAGTTCATAATTCGTGTCTTGTCCGTATATTTAGTCTGGGGTTTTTTTATTAGGATGCGCCTGCATTTCATTTATGAAAATATGAGCAATTACATTTGCATTTAAAATGTTTTAGCATTTCTCTCTTATTTCTCGTAGAATAAGATCCTTTAAATATTCATGATTTAGCACCTCTGAAAAAAAAACAGCGGGGGTATTTAGTCCCGTTTGGACAGTTCTAGTTTAAAGTGACATAGTGATTTGAAACACCAGCTCCTAGCGAAAATTTTCTGGATCCAACTTCAAATCAATCGGGCTTGGGCTGTCGACCAACAATAGTATAATCGATAATGCTTAATTTATAAAGAAAATCGCTGCTATTTGAGTGTTTAAATGCAGGGAGAACATAGTTTTGTGATAAATGTATTGGAATGAGGTGGACGCGCTGGCGCGCCGAATACAATTAGTTATATCAGTTACAGCTAATGAAAGTTTGACTGCAAATTCCATATCCCTAATTTTTAGAAAAACGAATCATTCTTTATATTCCTGATTATTTATAAATATGTGTTATTTTAGGCAGAAATGTAAAAATACCCTTACATATTATTATTATACACTTTAGCTATAGCATTTTTATACTCGTTAGTCACATTCTGTAAATAACAAATAAAAGCCGTTTGTCTGCTCTTTGACCATCCCTGATGTAAGAAAATAGTGCGAAAGTCTACATTTTCTCGAAAAGAAGAAGGTATGGTTTTCATACAAGTGTTGCCCAGTGATTTTCTAAAAAAGAATGAAACTGGTGAAAAAGTTGAAAACTCATGCTTTTTGATTAATTGAAATTCAATGCAGAAAATTCATTCAAGTATTTTTTCTCAAATAAGTTTTTAAATGTAATAATGACGTTATAAACATGTGCATTTTCCCGTATTTTCTTATAAAGTTGCAGAAGACACTAAATCTCAATGGAATTTTCTTTCAGATAACTTTGTCTATAGGAATCGCCCACAAAGATCTTGAGATATATGATTTGTTATTGAATTTTGCACAAAATGTCAAAAAATCAACGTGGGCAACGGCTGTGGACACTGTTTTTTTTACAGGAAAATCTCTCTGAAATGTGCCATTTTGAGGCTTTTTCTGTTGAAAATAGAGAAATGCCTCACATTAATGACGTCATATTTGCAGAATGGTAAACCTTCATGCCATATTCTTTCCTGATTTATCAGAGTCATTTATTAAACTATTATTTAAGCCAGTTTCAAAACTTTTTGATGTCATTACAGTTTTAGGGCGCAATAAAGCTAAAACCATAACTTCTTCTTTGCATGTTTATTTTCAAACGTGTTACTATAAACAAGAAATAGAAACCCCTGCTTTACATTCTGTATTTCATATATGCTTTCTTATACTTGTTGGTCACTGAATGCCAATAACAGTAAAAGCATATCGTCAGCAATTGCTCATCCAAATAGTAAGAAAAGTACAAAAATCTACATTTTTCCGATAGTTTACAGTATGCCTATTTTTAAACTCATGTTACTTTAAATAAAAACGGAAACCTCTCCTTCTCATTCTGTATTTGATATAACACTTTCTTTGACTTGTTGGTCGCCATATGCCAATAGCAGTTAAAACAGACAGTCAGCAATTATTCATCCAAAATGTTAGAAAAAAGGTACACAAAATTACATTTCTCCGATAGTTTACAGTACATCTATTTTTAAACACAAGTTACTATAAAAAGAAATGGAAACCTCTGCTTCTCATTCTGTATTTGATATGCTTTATTTTACTTGTTGGACACTATATGCCAATAGCAGTTGAATACAGATAGTCATCAATTATTCATCCAAAAATTTAGAAAAAAATGACATTTTTTCGATATTTTGCATCACGTCTATTTAAAAAACAAGTGTTACTATAAATAGAAATGAAAACCTCTGCTTCTCATTTTGTATTTCGTATATGCTTTCTTTTAATTGTTGGTCACCATATGCCAATTAGCAGTTAAAAACATATAGTCTGCAATTTTTCATCTAAAATGTGTGCAGTGCGTCCATTTTCAAATATGTGTTACTATAAATAGAAATGGAAACCTCTGCTTCTCATTCTTTATTTGATATAAGGCTTTCTTTTACTTGTTGGACACTATATGTCAATAGCAGTTAAATATACATAGTCAGCAATTATTCATCCAAAATTTTAGAAAAAAAAGTACAAAAACGACATTTTCCCGATATTTTGCATCACGTCTATTTTTAAACATGTGTTACTATAAATAGAAATGGATAAACTTACTTATCATGCTGCATTCCATTGAATGTTCTTTTGTTCTTGTCAGTCACATAATATCATTTACATTTAATGACAGTAAGTTGGTAAATTTCCCATATCTAATTTGTGGAAAATCAACATTAAACAGTGAATTTCAAATGTGTCTATTTTCAGACATTTGTACGATTTATAGACATGAGAGTCTGTCTTCAATAATTTGTGAGATATTATGCTTTTCTTTGTTCTTATTGATGAAATATTGGAAAGATCCATATTGTTATTATTCATGATTCAGTGGAGCTTAAAAATGAAGAAAAAATGTAATTTTTTATCATTTTATGAGACATGTCTATGTTTAGGCATTTGAAGCTATAAATAGAAAACGGAAATCCGTAAAAATAATATGCATGGTAGTTATTGGTGTCCAGTGTCTGACATTAACACATTGACTTTCACAGTATATTTCATAATTACATAGCAATGGCATCTTAAATTCTGCCCAAATTTCATTTTTTTAATTTTTCTGAAATATATATATTTTTAGATACATGTTACTAAAAATAGCATTGAGACCCCGCTCCAATTTTTTCATGAGGGGACACTTTTGACGTTTGACAACACGCATATGATTTGAAAAATTTTCGTAGACAATTTTTATTTTCTGTTAAATTCTCAAAAAATGACAAATATTCCATTTTTAACATTTTGAGAATCTATGCTATTTTGCCGAACCGTTTTCGGAATTAATGTTCCATTCAAGTTTCTTTCTGAAAGTGAAAATATACAGAAATTGTTTTACCTTCTAAAATTCCATCTCTAACAATGAAGAGATGTTGATGGATTTCTAGTCCCCTGGTGGACTCTGTAACTTCATCAACATTCTGACGTTTCCCTCTTAATCGCTTCAGCAGTGTTGTTAGTCCCTTAGTCGACTTTTTCACTTCACCACGATTCTGACATTGCTCTCTTAATCGCTTCAGTAGAGTTGTTTTCCCAGCCTCACCACATCCAACAAGTATTCCTCGGGCATGACAAACAGTGGTTTCCTCCTTTTTCAGAAACTCTACAAAACAAAAAAAAATAAAATAAACAGATTTAATTCTTAACATTTAAGAACAAAACGCATATTTTTGACAACAGAGCTTAAAACAAGTAAAAATCTTAACCCGACTTGTTTATTGTGCTTTATGGAAGATACAGAACTTAATACCCCTCTGACTAAGAAAATTTGGATAGATTAGTCAGTTTTATTCTAGCAATAATGATCAATACATCCAAAAATCCAAGGATGTTAGGTCATGTTAGTGAGTTTGATGTTAGGTCAAATGATAAGGAAAGGTCATTGTATTTGAGTTCAGGGGAAGTTTTGTAGAGGTCAGTTGTAGTTAAGATGAGGTCAGGTCTAGTCAACATGAGGACAGGAGAAGTGAAGATGAGGTCAGGTCTAGTGTAGATGAGGTCAAAACAAGTAAAAATGAGGTCAAAGCTAGTGAAGTTGATGTCAGGTATACTGAAGATGATATCAGAACTAGTAAAGATTAAGTCAGAAAAAGTGAAACTGAGGTCAGAACTTGTGAAGATGATGTCATGCCTGTTGAAGATGAGATCAGGTCTAGGGAAAATGAGGTCAGACAAAAACAGAAAAACAGGATATTGACAACAATTATAACAAGACTAAAATCTACCATATGCTATGCCTAAACAAAGAGAATTTTAAGCATCTGCGGAAAGAAATTGTTACGGACAGACGGACACACCCTGGCTTCATTTTCATTTTGGCAAAAAAAAAATAATACAGTTGTAAAATACATCATGCACATGCAGAATATCAACGCAGCACATAGTGTAGATTGTTTAAACACCTGCTATAGAAATACACAACATTTCTAGACAGAGCTGTCCTAATATTAATAAATGCTGTCTGTATCTCACTGTCAACTCGTTAATCTGAAAACTGTACAGTTTCTTTTTCCTGTACATTGATTGATTGAATGATTGGATATTGCTCATCGTTCCTCTCTAGTATATTTTCCCGTTTAAATTGACCTACAAATCAGACAACTGGACTGGTACTGATTTACTAACTTTGTTACATATAGTAGTGGACAATACAATGTCAACCCAATATAAGATATTATTACATTTTTACCCGTGAAACACTGTAATTTATTCATTGAATAAAAATGATATCCTGTCACACTGTGAAAGGATATCAAAATGATATCCTGTCACAGTGTGACGAATATCAGAAATGCTCTCGATTTCCCTTACCATAACGAAGATTGCTGTAAAGAAAATCTCCCTTGACCTAATATAAGATATATGAAAATAAAAAAAAAAAAACATTCTGGCAACGAATAAAACTGTCAAATTTACCAAACATATGTTGCTAAATCTATGTTTACTTTAGGTATGACTCTAATTCTTGACCAAATTATTCGATTATAACCTGGTTTCTGTTAGTTTACGCTTTATAATCCGCGAAGCGGATTATTAAGAAGCGTAAACTGACCCAAACCAGGTTATAATCGAATAATTTGGCCAATAATTAGAGTCATTCCTTATTATTTAATTTTTAAATAATCAAACAACTGTGGATGTAAAATTGTGCTGCTTTTTATGACTTCATATTTGCCGCTCAATAATACATCCGTAGTAACGAAAGTAATTTGAAACAAGGGGACGTAACAACTGATACACAGATCTAGCAGCCATGATTTTTGTTTACACGAGGTAAGAGCGAGCTACTGTTTGAAGTTAAAAGTACATTTATGAAATTTAGAATTTTCCATGTAATTCCAAGGACAGGAAATGTGGGACTGCATAGATACAGATGAATCAGCTGGTTGTCAAGGGGGTGTGTCCCCATACCAAACCAGGTTATTACGTTTTATTCTTGTGTTCCTTTTTGTAAGACAGGATTTTTTTTATATTTTCACTCGTGCTTCGCACTCGTGAAAATATAAAAAATCCCGCCCCTCGTGAAATAAATGCCATATTCAACTATAAAACATTGAATATCCTCTATATACCAAAAAAGAGTTGTTGTACATCTGTTTTATTAGCCAAAGAGAGCTGTCCATAAAGCTCGTGGACAACATTGATAATTACTGCCAAACATTGAGAGTTGTTGTACATGTAATTTATGAGTCAAGGACAGAAAATTTCACATTGTTTGTGATCATGGGTGATGTAGCATACTAGCATCTTTGCATTTTTAATTATCTTTAATTTATTTCTTTCTGTGATATTTTTAACTGTGATAGTCGGTTACGAAATCTACAGAAAACATGTTGACGTTGTAATTACTTTCAAATTTAATGGACTTTATCAGAATCAGTAGTTTGTCAAACATAACAAACAAATAACAAAGTTATTATTAAACCAAGTACATATTAAAAACTCTGAACTAATTAAATAATAAGCACTTTATCTGAAATGTATTTACTTAAGAAATCAAAGTAATAAATAACAGTTTATGATTTATGTATCCTCATATCATGTATTGGTAATAATTCTTGTTACTTAATGCAACAAGTTATAATAGAATCAATTATGTAATTTAATTACACTAAATACAATAAAAATTTTAGTAAATGTCTTGTAAAAACATAAAAAAAACACAAATAATAATTACTGTAAACGTATTATATTTGGCTATTTATTCTTTTTACCGCTTTTAGCGGGAAGACACTTCCGCTAATTCAAGTACAACGCTAAATGTTTTGTACTTATATACATAAAAAAGAATGATAAGAAATGCGCTGGATTAAATCTACGCTAACTTGTTCAAAACTCAATTTCCGCCAAATATCATACACGGTAAATATGATACATTTACAGTAATTGTACACACGTAACATTGCACAGTCATGTAAAACAAAATATCTGATCTTACTGATGTAATACTTACCAGTCAGGGAGTGTTCCAGTCTGTGAATGTTCACTGTGTTGTTGTCGTCTGATCCCATCCAGACACAGTGAGTTCTGTCATCATAACTCAGACCCAGTGGTCTGTTTATCCCGTGTTGTTCTATCTCTATCAGTGACAGGAGTCGCCCGTCACAATCCAGTATATGTACTGTCTGGGTGTACCAATCACACACCAGGATGTGTGACAGCGCGTCAGTACAGATTCCATGTGGATCTAGTCCTGATCCTGATGTAGGACCTGTGTAAGAGAAGCGATGTCTCCCTCTACTATCTGTCACCACTACAGCATAACGGCCAATGTCAGACACAATTACATCTCCATTGCGGTTCTCTGTGATGTAGATAGGATATTTATAAAGCTCCTGACCTGTGTTGTCATGCTCTATGGTCTGTATGTGTTCTCCTGTGTTAGTATAACGGTTGACCTGGCTTGTATCTGTATCACCTCTATACATCACCACCAGCAGGTCTCCAGTGGAAGGGGAGCTGTAGACACATTTTGGTATCCATGGTGACGTGTACGGTATCATCTTTACTTTGTGATCTGTAGACAGTTTAATAACGTTTCGGTCACTGTCTATATAAATTAAATAACAGTCCCCAGTCACAGTATGTGCTCCACGGACACCTCTATTTATATTTGTAATATGACGTAGTTCATCACCCGCCATGTTTGTCAGTATGAGATTGCCATCACCATCAGCGACCCAGAACCGGTCTGGTGTCACTTGGGTAATGTGACGACCACGTCTAACACCCGACACTGTGACAGATTTGTGTAACACCAATCTATACATCATTGACACCTGACATTTATTTCATCTCTATCCACTGGTTTCAGATTCTCGTGTTGGTTTCTTCCTTATCTGTAAATAACAAAACTTTGTTACAATTGTCTAAATCAATAACAGGGTTCTGTTTACATTACAATATGTGTATATTCATTTAACAAATGTCTTGGTTTTACATAACATATAGAAAAGAAAAGAATTAATACAAAGATAACCACTGTACTGAGTACTCATCTCAGTGTTATAACAGCCTCCAAGTGTTCTCAGTCAAACCTGTTTCACAAAGCATTCATCAATTAAAACACCTAATTATAAATAATGAAATGATGGAAAACTTTTAAGGTAATAATATAAGACATTCTATAACATTGTTTTAACCTTTATTGAGTCAATTTTATCATTTACAAAAGAATTACAAATAAAATTACAAGGTTGTGCAGCATTCAATCTTGATGTTCTTAATAAAAAGAAAATAAGATACACTCTGTATTAAAGCATGATCAAAGTTTCTTTTTTTTAAGTTTTTAAAAAAAATATATACAGTTATATTACGTAACAAATTAAATAATTGATTACCACATCAATTTCTTGTATCTGGTAACAAAAAAATTGCCTATTTTCAACTTGCTTTTTCTCAGTTAATAAAAAACACATTTTTACACATTATTATTAATCATTCTTAAGAAAAAAAACTTAGATCAATTACTTTCTTTCATTCAATTATGAAAAAAAAACAAGTCTTTTCTCTAAAATTAGAATTATACATGTGTTTTTAAATACAAACACACACATTCAGAGGCGTAGTCACAAACTTAAAAGTGGGGAGGCTCAAGTCCAGAAAGTCTTTGACAAGCAAAAAAAAAAAAAAATTAAAGTTCCCCAAACTCGAAAATCCTATTTCGGGGGGGGGGGGGGGGGGGGGGGTTAGTAGCCAACTTTTTTTTTCGAAGGCAAGTTACTTTCAATTTCTATTTTTCTACACAATTTATTATATAACTATATATTATTACAAAATAGCTGTGATTTTGTTCTTCATTAAAAAGTGGGGGGGGGCACAGACATACTCTCCCCCCCCCCCCGATCTGAAAGTGGGGGGGGGCTAGTGCCACCGCTGCCCCCTCCCTGTGACTACGCCTATGACACACACCCACAAACACCACACCGGAACAAAACATGCACATAAACACATGTACTGTATCTCTTTTCGGTTCAATAGGCCAAAAAATGAATCTTACTTTAGCAGCTTTTTACTTATATGTTTCTCAATCTTTTTGTTTTGACAGTCAACAAAATGGCGACATCTACCTATTCTTACTTTTTGTACTCTTATATTAAAAAAGAATCAGCTCAAAATGATTTAAAAACAATTTTTTTTATTTTAAAGGAGTTAATCCATAAAATGCAATCTTTATAAGATAAACATTGTGAATATAACAATAGGCCCATGGGACAGGGCGCTCACCTGAGTCACCTTGCTGTTCTTCATTTATAGATTTGTTTATTTAATTAATATTTATATATTCCCATGTTAAATTTTTATTGCATTTATGTGACCCAAACTTACTCCCAGGTGTCATGATCTGAATTAATTTGAATCTTCACTATCCGAGGAGATTATGACTAATCTTAACTTTTCTGATCTCAGAAAAAAAAAAGATTTTTAAAGATGTTTCCCCTTGACCATTGTTTATATCTTTATTTTTAACTCAGATGGCCCACTGTGACCCATCCTATCCCTGGAGTATCAAAATTTGAACAATCTTAAATCTGCACTACCTAAGAATACTTCCATATCATTGCAAATTATCTAGCTTTGCTTTTTTATAGCAAAATATTTTTAGGTAACATGAGCAAACTCAGGTGACCTATAACAGTCCGTTTTCGTTTGTCGTCGTACATCCTCCGTCCTGCACCATGCATTAACAATTGAACATTTTCAGCTCCTCCTCTGCAACCGCTCTACCGATTCTGACCAATTTTACGTGTGAAGGGGAACAAAAATTGAGAATTTCATGGTCTTTGTCCCCCTGGGGCTTGAGGAGTGGGACCAAAATCACTAAAATTAATGCAATTAACTACGAAAATCAAGCAATCAAACTGTTGGCATGATTGTAATCAGCATTGAGTCCTCTACCAAAACTTTGAAATTCATGACCAAAGGATCAGGGGTTCCTGTGCTAATTAAGGCGGGGCTAAATAGATCATTGGCACCAAATTTGCTTGAATTTTTGACCCCCTAATACATTATAAAGAGAAGTCTTTAAAATATACTAGGGAGTCAAAATTTCAAGCAAGTTTGGTACCCATGAAATAGATTATATAGTGAAAATTAATTCATTTTTCTCTTAGTAAAACTTCTCTGCTCCTGGGTATAAAACAAACAAAGTACAAAATTATAATGAAGGATATGGAAATAACGAACAGTATTCAATCTCAACGTCCATTAAACAAATATACAAAATAAGAGCAGAGCAAACACGGACCTCCGATACATCAGAGGTGGGATCAGGTGCCATGGAGGAGTGAGCATCCCTTGCCGACCGGTCACACCCGCCGTGTGCTCGTTGTCATAATCAGGAAATAACGGAAAAAATCCGTGGTCAATTCAGTGTATAAATAATGGACTAACAATTGGTATGAAAAACGTCAGTCAGCATTTCATTCAATGATAAATTGTATTTGCTGACAACGTCATTGTATCGACCATAGAATTTACGAAATGATGACTTTAAACGAGACTGTTGACATTCCTGTTTCATCAACTTGCTGGTCAATAATTTACCTCGTTTAAGAAATTGGTCATACGTAGAGCATGCTCTTGCGTATCGAATCAACTGAGATATAAATACTCCGTATGCAGGTGATGAAGGTATATTGCTGCATAAGTAAGGGAAGTTGACGATAGAAAAGTTAAAGTCATCACGTTTATCATCGCTTGGTTTTTGGATTACCATTTGTGTCCCTTTCAAGTAAAATATCCAAGTATGAAGCAAAAGTGTCGGACTCTGTGGTATTTTTTATCTCAAGCTCACCAGGATATATCGTGTCGACGTAGGAATGGAAATTATCATTATTAATTGACAATACGTCGTCGATATATCTAAATGTCGAGTTGAAGGCCACAGCAAGTATTTTTTTCTTTTCACGCAAAAGATTTTGCATAAATTCTGCTTTATATGAATATAAAAATAAGTCTGCTAATAACGGAGCGCTATTTATACCCATGGGAATTCCAATAGATTGTTGGAATACCTGGTCTCCAAAAACCACATATATATTGTCAATCAGAAACTCAAGCATCTTCTTGATGTCAACTTCAGAGTACTTATGTGTGCAATCAGAATCTGTTTTAACAAAATAATTTTTCAAATGACTAATGACGAGGTAAGTAAACTTACGAGTTCCATTTTTGTTGAAAAAGCAGCTGTCAATGATAACAAAAAGCCTGGATTTTAATTTGTCGTGCGGAATTGTTGTGTATAAAGTTGAAAAGTCGTAAGTTTTTATGCTGTTGATTTTTGTAAAGTCTTGTGATTTCAAATTGTCCAAAAAATCTTTAGAATTTTTAAGGTAGATCGCGGGTTTACTGTCTGCCTGAAAACATACTCTGAAAATTTGTCAACTGAATCCTCTCGTTTCAAATTTTACTTTCTGAAATTTTTGTGAGATTCGTCTGCGTGGTTATATTGCTATTGTATTTCAAAGGCACTAATATTGATGAGAACTGGTGACGCTATTACAATGAAATATATAGTAAATGCGCCTTTCTCATCGGTAAACGCATTTCACAACCATGCTTATAATATAAAAACGGCGCAGACGAATTTTATATTACTCAACACAATGAAAGTGAGATAAATTTAGAATCGATCTATTAAAAAAAATTAATATGTGTTCTCGCTCATTTTCTCGCAAAAAAACTTTGAAGTTTTACAAATTTGTAACAAACGTATATAATTTCATTAAGACGTTATATAACGTTAGTGCGACGTCATTATTTTCGTACGTCTCAGAATCACGAAGTAATCAACAATTCACTGAAAATAAAACATGTTTTATCCTCATTTTCAATTGATTGGCAATAAATGTTCACGTAAACACTGTCACAATTTACCATAATTGTCACACTTTTTTCAAGGAAACACAGAGTCATATTATTTGAATAAATTTTGACCTTTCATACATTAACGTTATCTTAACTCTTGATTTAATTTAGTATTGATTAGTTATTGATTAATCCTTTATCTTTAATTACATATTAATAAATATTTTTACAGACAAAACAAGGTTTAATGTACTGATGGAAATACTTTTTGCTTGTTTGTAGTTGATACTGTAAACGTAGTAAGCTTTTTACGTCGAATCCTATTGTGACGTCAGCAAACCCGCGATCTACCTTAAGTATCCACATCTGATTTACACCACTTCTTGAATATATAGTTGTACAGTACTCTTGAAGTTTTTGCTTCACTACTGTCAATATTTTAGTGAGAAGTAACGAAAGAGGCTTGGTTGAACATTTACTGGAACCTGCAATGTATCTTTGTTTGTAAGGATTCTTATGAAGTTTCGGAATCCAATATATATAAGGTAGTTCGAATTCATTTTGGCTCTGCGGAATATTAAAAGTATTCAAAACTGACAGGTGATTTTGAAGAATTTCTTTCTTAGAAAGAGTAGTATATGTATAAGTAGGATTACCACTTGTAGCATTAAATCCAAGTTCTTCTAAAATGCAATTTATATAATGAGCCTTACAAACGAAGACAATGTTGTTACCTGCTTTGTCGGCAGGAACCAGAATTCCATCGAGAATTCCTCTTCCAAAATTGTGAATTTTATGTCCCCTTGGTCAGGGTTTCTTGTGTTAGGGCAGAGCCCTATGGATATATAGTGAAAATACATTAATTCTTTGAAAATCTTCTTAGCTCCAAGGTATTAAACAAACAATTTGCTATTGAAAGTACATAGTTATAATGAGCGAAAATGCCTCTTCCCAAATTGTG